GAAGATATTTTATTGGAATAAATGAATGAACAACATTAGAAAATAGGAGGTTCTCGAAGCTTTAGTGAGCGAGAGAAGCGAGCGAAATTTTAAAAAGGCGCACTCTTGGAATGAAGCACAAGGCACATCATCAAGCGCATACCTAGGCGCACCAGGTGTGCACCTTTTGAAAGGGGTGCACCTAGGACCTGGGCAAGGCACATACCCCAAAATGCGCCTAGGCACGCCTGAGGCGCACCATTTAAATCATTGTAGAAAACACAATGATTAGGGAAAAAAGGTCACTGAACAGTTCTAATTTTTAGTAATGCTACTAATAAAAGTAGGTTTGTACCAAGTTTGGGCATATGCAAAGTTGATGATAAAGTAAAGGCATTGGACACTTTAATGTCTCCCTTGCCAGAGATGGGAGCAAGAGAGCCATCAACAATAAAGATTGTCTCTACTGGGACAAATGATAAGAGGAAAACAATGAGGCTAAACTAGTCATATGGTCAAAGGCACAAAAATCTACTATCTAAACAAAATCAATGTTACCTGGAGATGAGGCATGATAGGCAGTCGCTCTTGTACCTGAATGTGCAAAAGCTAAAGTGGAAGTGAGAGGACTAGATAATTTACTATCTAAACAAAATCATTTCCCTTCTTGTTGCATTTCCCCCGTTTCCTTCATACTATCCCAAATGTCCTTAGCAGTCTTTGCACAAAGGTAGTTTCTATTGATATGAGGCTGCATTGAGTTGTAGAGCCAAGTCATAACTAGATAATTTTCCTTCATACTATCCCAAATGTCCTCGGTTGGCTTCTTAGTGTCACCATTTACATACCCTAACTTACCCCTCCTCCAGTGGCCATCATAGCTTCTTGATCCCATTCAAGATACTTTGTTCCATTAAACATTGGTCATAATCTGGAAAGAGTTGTTGTCTGTCACACTACCAGCCCCAATGGATTTAAACTCATTTCCAGCATACTCCATGCTGAACTGAGCAAGGTATTAGACAGCCCAACTTCTTTCCGATAGAAAAGAATTAAAAAACAATACAGAAGCCAAGCTGTTATCAATTTGATGTCACTCAAAACTGGTTGTTCCAACAAGGAAAAGCCAGAGAAATAATTTTGAGAACACAAGAAAACTCCAAGCGCTACTTCCAGAAGCTTCTATATGTCCTCCACTTGCTGTTGATATCTAAAACAGTCAGAAAACCACCCAGAAAACACTGAGCACCACCTTCAAATTGAGGTTTAACCCTTAAACCCCAACCAAACAAGTATCTTTGATACTTCCTGGTCACTGGGCAAAAACAGAGTTCAAAAAAGTGCTAGAACAATGCACCAATCTCCATTGACCTCCAAGAATCAGGCAAAAAAGGTATGAAACTCCAGCCCTAATAGAGTTTCATGCAGCCAGTTGGGCTAAGCATATATGAGACCTAAACCTGCTCCAATACCAACTTGAAAAGAATTGATGTAGCAGTCTTATGTTTAGTATGAAACCTCTTCAGAAAAAGAAAAGAAAAGAAAAGAACAGAGGAAAAGAAGAAGAAGAGAAGAAACAATGAGAGAGAGAGAGCAGAATGAATCAGTTCTGTTGCACCCCTCATTGCCTTTTATATATGACTTGATAAAAGAAGATATAATGATAAAAATACCCCTATCAACTATGAATGAACAACATTAGCAAATAGGGTGTGTGCCTTCTGAAAAGACTGTTAGGTTCAAAAAATGCAAAAAAAAACATCAAAATTTTCAAAAAGGCACACCTGGGCTGAGGCGCCTTTTAAAAGGGCTGCGCCTAGGACCTAGGTATGCGCATACCCTAAAATGCGCCCTACCTGTGCGCCTAGGTGCACCTGAGGCACACCTTTTAAATCACTGTCCAGCACACCTCCCAAATACTCCCCCAATTTCAGAATTCCCTGGGTTCCTAAGCTGCAACCATCAAAATTCATCTTGGTAATAGGTTGGATTAGAGGCATCAACAGAACAGATACTCTTATCCTCATAGAGGAGCAGCAATGGCTTGCCAATAGATATAGACTTTTGTTTCTAGGTATTCAACATCTTCATTGGTTATCAATATGATTATGATTCCCTAATACCTGTAGCAGGAACCAAGAATTTCGTCTTGGAGTGGAGAGAGTAATTATATGGACAAGATGTGATAACATTTTTTTTATAATTAGTGAACACGTTATTAAACCAATTAAAAAATAGTAACATAAAAATGCATCAAGTACATACTTATGATTGTTATCATAGAATTATGTATATGCTTATGATTTATTTCTTGTCAAGGTGCCTAGGTGATTCTAGGCAACAGTGGAATGCCTAAATGTGCAGGTACCTACTTGGTAGAACTTAAAAAAGAAAAAACTAAATTCTGGGTTAGTTCTATAACTATACATATCAGATAGCAATAATAGACGTTGAAAAAATAGCAATGCTATTTAGTAGTAATATTAGCTTACCTCTCAAAAGTATATTAAATCATTGCATCTAAAAGACAATAAAATAAAAATTTTGTTACAACAAAATACAATAACATTTTAAGTTAATTAGTTTCAATATGTCAAACACGACACTATATAATAATAAGTACTTAATAAAGCAATTGCACATTAAAAAATTATTAGTAATTAATATTTTAAAATGCGAAGGTGTGTAATGAGGTTTTCCAGCATCCTAAGGCATACAGCACAAACCAAAACACGAGGCAATGAGGCATAAGCCTCCCAAATTTTTAATTAATAAATAATTTGAAATAAGATATAATAGATAAAAAATATAGTATATATCCAATAAAGTAGGAAAATTAAAAGAAATTAGAAATTTTCATATTTACAATTTTTTAATAATAAAACTATCAAATTCAAAAATATAGAATTGAAGTATCACTGCATGAAGTAGCATCATCCATAATTATATAAGCATCATCAGCCATCAATATACCGCCGGACAAAGTTGCAAATCAAAGTTTCAGATTTAACACTTCAAATAAATTGTACAACATTATTATAAACAATTGTGTCATCTCATAATCAAATGAATGTAATGCACTAAAAGAAAACAAAGTTATGGTGCCCCACTTCTATTTTTAACATTTTAAGAAGAGATGAAGTGATTTTTGTTGCCTAGTTGGACATCAAGTTATGAGGGTGGGCCTTGGTGCAACAGTTGGGTTGCTCCACTACAACCTGTGGGTGACCAGGGTTCAAATCTTGGAAACAGCCTCTCTATGTGCAGGAGTAAGGCTGTATACATCTGTCCCTCCYCAGATCCCACATTGGCGGGAGCATCGTGACTGGGCTGCCCTTAGTTGGGCAACAAGTTACTTAGCCAAGCACCTTTTTTAATATAAGCTATGGCATTCAAGCTAGTGTTTTAAAAAGCGCAAGGTGCAAAAAAGGTGCAAGGGCCATTTTGTACCTGAGGGGCAAGGCGCAAGGTGCAAAGCAAGGTGCACGCATATAATACCCACGATCTCTTTTTTTTTTCTCAATTGCATCAAGTAGCTAATGTGGCATGTTACATTCCTAATTCTACGAACCGCCTTTGCGCCACGCCCCTTGAGGCAAGCCCAAACAAGTCCGTGTTAGGGTCTTAAATTCTTAGTTTTCACACAAAAAATAATGATTTTATAGTTTTAATTGCTTTTAAGGAGATATTTTATTAGGATGAATGAATGGGCAACATTACCAAATAGGGGATTCTCGAATGGCCTATGGTGCGTCTTTTAAATGAGCTGCACGTAGGACCTGGGCGAAGCGCCTACCCTAAAATGGGCCTCGCCTATGCGCCTAGGCACGATTGAGGCGCACCTTTTAAATCACCGATTCAGGCAATGCACCCAACCAAGGGTACCTAAGTGATGCCTTGGCAACATTTTCTTTGTTTATTGATCAATGGGTGACTTGACAACTATAACAAAGTATAAAAGGATCCCTTCAAAAAGAAAGTATATAAGGAATTGCAAACAACAATGGTTCTAAATAACGATATTATCAAACTCGCAAGGCATTTATTAGTTAGACCATTAATAGAACAGTCAAATAATAAAGTATTTAAAAATAGTAATCAACCTTCAGCCATTGAGGAGATCACAAGTCACAATCCACTTAATGACTAATTCACTAATGATAAAGCAACAAGTTATTTAGATCATTCACTTAGCCATTATTAATAACCTCCAAGAGAGATGGGACTGAACTAATTGATTAATTCTTGATAAAATGAGACAAGCAATGGAGAGCAATGGGGTGGAGAAATTTTAATACCTTTTTTTCTTAAGAGAGTATAAGTATTTAGAGGAAAAGGTATTCTTGTTTACCCTTTTAGAAGGTAAGTTCTTCTATGGGAAAGAAAAGGTATTCTCGTTTACCCTTTGTAACTCATAGTAGTTCTTCCTCTGTTTTTCAGTATTAAAAAATGTAATATTCTTTAAATATATAAGGAATATGCATCTGGTTGACCATATTATATCTATGTTGTATGAGGCTAATCACTAATGATCTTTCTTAAGGCTGTATACAGAGTGGTGGATTTAGAATTGGGGGCAGAATTAGGTTAATTAGTTATCTGAATCTCCAGAATTTGTCATTGGGTGCTTTTTTCAGCATTGCATAATTCAAAGAGAAACACAGGAAATAAAAAACCTGATTAATCTTCATTTAGAGAAATTCAAATTCCTCCCAAAGGGTGAGCCATTTGAAACAGAACTGAAATTCATTCTGCTGCTGCAATGCAAATTCGAAACACAGGTTTAGTCTTTCTTTTTCCTTTTTAATTTTGTTTTCAATGGGAAACAATTAAAGTTTTACTGAACTTTTTGGAAGCTGATTTGTAGATAACTGTGGAAACATTATCATGTAATTTAAAATTAAGGGAGTAGCTGGCCTTGCCTAATATGACAAGTGCTATTGGCAATTAGGATGGAAATTAGGATTTATATTTATAGCATGATAGCACCAGAACAAAAATTGGCACATAATTATTGCTATCACATGCAGCCTAGATTAATAAAAGCATTTTTTCAACCAAACCTCATATGTTACAGTGCCACCAGAAGTTGCAGGTTGACGAAGGGTGACATTACAGATAGCACCATTTGCAGATAGAATACAGACTGTGCGCGATCCTTGCTGTGAAAAGGCCATAATTTTTGATGCTACATCCTACAAAACAAAAGAACTGAATTGGGGTAACATGTAAAAGTAAGATTTACTGTTACTGATTTTAAAAAGTAGGATAAAGATAATGTGATCTGATTACTACATTAAATTAAGTTAAAGGTAAGATAATATAATCTGGTAACTACATTAAATTGTTTGATTCCATACCAAATGTCAACCAGCACAGTCTAATCTGGGAAAAAAGAAGCAAATTGGACAAATGAAAAATTAAAAGAAATGAAGAGACACTGCTCATGTCATTATTCTTTGCCATAAGAAAATTTTAAATATATAGCTGCCATAATTCTCTGTTGTGGTTGAAGTAACATATGGTCATCCTAATCCCATACCAAATTAATAACTCCATAACAGCCAAAATAGTAGTTTCCGTACACAATGAAAATTATACTACTAAGATCTTTAAGTAAACCCATGACCTTACCAATAAGAAGTTAAATCTCAGTAAATGCCAAAATAAGCTAAAACCTTACAAAATCAGTGTGGCATGGAAAACTCCTGTTTTCAAATCTCAAAAAGACCCAAAACAACAAAGGAATTGAGATATGACAATTTAAAGAAATGACAACTGCACATCATATCATTGGTTGGTTGTCAGTACTACCAATCAACAGTACTTGCAAGAAAGACAACAAACCCAAGAAGACAAGCCATTCCAATTAGTAAAAAATGACACTCAAAAACCATGCCATCCATTAGTGACTAGTACAATTCACTTCAGATATGGAATTTGATGCATATACTGATGGATATGGTTAACATACCTCACCAGCTTTGACAGTGATGATATGTGGAGTAAAAGCAATTCCAGCAGCCCCTATCAGAAAACCAAGCTCATAATCAATATCTCTTGTAAAATATGACCACTATTGATAATAATAAAATAATAAATGAGACAAGTTGAAAACCATACCCAAAGCATCCAGTTGCTGCTTCTTTCCGGAACCCGGAGGCCGCCCTCTGTTCCGCTTATATGGAGGTTCGGATGACGGTGTAACTGGATGTGAGGGAGTAGTCGAATGTGAAGGAGCCACCGAGGATAGAGGAGCCAATGCCAATGCCATGCTGCCGTCAGGTCCATATTTCCTGGGTCTTCCTCTTTTCTTCTTCATTGGCTCACCCATGTTAAACCCACATGGTCTCAAACCCCCTGAAGACCCATCGGCATGATACGGCGAGTTGGAAGAATCCGACGGTCGGGAAACAGAATTGATCACAGAATTGAAGGGAAGACGCATGCTCTGCATCAATCCTGCAGAGTTGGGACTGAGCATTGAACCGTTGGGTATGCTCGACCCATATGGATTGGGACCCACCATCATTCCATGAGCTTCAGATGAAGTTAACCTTGTAGCTTCCCGTGCATCCATTCACAGAATTTAAATAGAAACAGTAATAAAAATATATAGAATTTCAATTTCTTTCCATCTTTCGCATCAGCCCAACTGTTGAAAAATCTGTTCAAATGCATCGGCAGATATAAATCAGAAAAAAATAAAAAGAAAAGATATGCACGAATTTGTTTCATTTCTTTTTCGCACCGAAATCTATTCGATCAAAAATGAAAAAAAAAAAAAAACAAGCAGAAGAAAATGAGAAAATGACACTAAAAATAAATGGAAAGAAGAGAGAGAGAGAGAGAGAGAGAAAGAAACGGAACCTGGTTTAGTAGGCGCGGAAATGCAGAAGATATTTCTACTTTTCTAGGGTTTAGAGGGGAGAGACGTCTCGGATTTAGGGTTTAAACGACGTCCTCGCCTTTCTTCTTTTGCCCACCGACCCTCGCCTTCCCGAGATGGGAAAAATATGCGGGAAATGGTAATTATGTTTCCATTTCTACCTAAATAAATAAATAGTATTACTTATCTTCACATTTTCTAGCTTTACAGTTTATACTACCTACCTGATACCTCTACTTGCTTTTGATTTGGACATTGCAATTGGAAGGAACCCCTTTTCTGTATACAAATATAATACAAAAGCTCCCCCGTCTCTTCTCACTCCTTGATTGTTTTGTTGTCGTTAATGCATTTTTTTTTTCTATTTTTCTATTTATTTTCTCATTATTTATTTATTTATGGATATTTATTAATTCATTTTATATTATTAATATATATATATATATATATATATATATCACATATCTTAATTCTTATACATATTTCCCCGGGTTGTGATGTTTTGTGTTGACTTCCGTCTTTCCCTCCTAATTGAGAGTTCAAATATTTGGGACTTTGACTGACTGACCTGCAAACGCAGCACACATCCTAATTAAAGACAAAAAAAGGTCACAAAACTACTTGGGTGTTGAAGTAAGCATTAGATTCGACCGTAACTAGTACGGGTTGAGGGCAGGCTACGCAGCATGGAAAATGCCTTGGGACTTTGGGTTCAGGCCGGGGTGGATTAGAACTCAGCCCTGCCCATGGTGCTTGTCCTCAAGCCAGCCCAGCCATGTAGAATGGACCAGCTAAACTTCTTCCTGTTTTTTTCTTCTTGTTGCAATGAGATGGATATCATTGATGGTTCTTTGCTCATCGTCTATGTATTGACTGTATGGAAGAGAAGGTTGGGCAGTTAAGATAAGGCATGCCCAAAAAATATGAGCATCACAAAAATGTAAATACTTAGTTGCATGAATGGTAAAACTAGAAATGACACAGTTAGAAATGAAGTCAAATGAAACAACTTAGGATTAACTTTTATTAAGCGATAAAATGAGAGAAAGTAGATTGAGATGATTTTGTATACGTGCATAATAACCATTTACAAAACCTATTAATTAAAAAGGTGATTTCTTACAAATAGAAGGGGCTAAAATAGTAAAGGGAAAATAAACCAAAAAGGATTTGGGTGAAAATAATAAGGAATTATTTAAGCATTCATAGTTTGACACCTAACAGAATATAATGATAAAAAAAAAAAAAGGGATTCATGTATTTGACTGTCAAGTGAGGCTAAGATATACTTAGAAAAGAAACCAAAACAAAAAATAAATAAAAATAAAATAAAAGGGGGTAAGGTAAAAATCCAGACCCATATTTTGGCCCAAGTCAAGCCTTATTATCATACAAATTGTACGGATTGAGTTTTGATTTTTAGGCTACAAGTTAGGCCTTGGCCTGAACACTTGTTGTTTGATCCCAACTCGTTTTAGACTTCTATTGAGGTTGAGGCTTAAGGAAGTCGAAGATACCCGAGCCAAAACAACCTGTAATATATGAACCCCAGTTATATATATTATATATGTTCATTATGAATGTATAAAATATTTGAAATATAACATAAGCAGCAAGTCATTCAAACTCGGGCAAGACGCGGGCTCACCTTCTTGAGTTTTTATATTGGGAATTGGGTTGGGTTAGGTTAGGCCAATCCAGAAGTTGTCTTAGGGTTGAGCCTAATTTGGTGGCCCTAATTCCACAAACCTGATGGAAACCTATGAAAATACAATGTTGGAAATGGCTTTTCCAAAATAGCATTATTCTTAGAATTGACCGTGCTCCAATCACCAATATTTATATATGCCGTTGGCGTAGAGGCCCAAGCCAAACCATTGGGCTTCTTGTTAAGCCCATTGGTTGGGATTGCCACATTCCATAAATCTATAAATATACCTATTTCACCTGAAATTCCTTCACAGTGAATTAGTATCTACTGGTTTGCAATTGAATCGTGAAGCAGGAAGGAGAAATGGATGGAGAGACACCGCTAACCAACTGGGAGAGTTAGTGAGAGGATAAAAATGATGCGTCGAGATTTGTCGAACCACCGTAATACAATCGGCAACGTGCGGATTTGAGTCATCCGGTGCAAATTAACATTTCAGCATCAGTAATTAGAGCTGGGGACGAAGTAATTTAAATGGTGGAAATGAAATCCATTGCAGAAGAAATAGCTCAATGTGAACTGCCCCCGCCCGTTTACTCACTCGGCTCGGTTCGTCATTTGAATTTCATTGCAGGTATGCATAATCGCACTTTCAGTGGTTACTGGCCAGTTGGTAGCAGAAGCTGTACAATACAATATACAGAAACTGTTTTCAAGTCGAATCCCAGATTATAAAAATCTAGGGACCAAAAAAGAGAAAAAAGTGCAATCTCATTAACACCTTGTTGAACATGAACGGAAAAAATCAGCACACTTCCGTCTCAAATTTAACGGATATGCCCATGCTAAAAAGTTCTTGACACAGCAGCTTGGCACCGTAAGGCACATTCACCCTTACAATGTTCTCCGCAGACTCACAGAATCGGCAGTATGGACCTCGGATCTTCTTGCCTCCAGGTACTGGTCTCTGGATCACATTTGCAAGGTTGGTGCATTTGCGACATATGTGCATCTGTGAGAAATCACTGAGCATGAATAGACGTTCATGTAGGTTGGCCGCAGCACCATGGGCCAGTAAGCAATCACGCTCCATCTCACCAAATTTGACCCCACCAAAACGCTTCCGGTCTGACACTGGTTGTCGGGTAAGTGGGTGCACTGGTCCTGTGTTCCTAAATTTTACCTTGTCTTCAGCCATATGTATCAGCCTCTGATAAAATGTTGGGCCCATGAATATCAAAGAACGCATCATTTCACCAGTTCGGCCATTATAAATTCTCTCACTTCCCCATCTTGAATATCCAGCCCTGTAATACAATTTTAAAATCATACTCGATCAAATGCAAACTAAAGAAGTTTTGAATCAAACTTACTGTGTTCAATTCAACAGCGTTGAGATTTCAATGGAAATGAGGCGAGAACAAAGGCAAAATATCAGCAAGTGCAGAAACCCATGATCAAAACAATCTAACTCAAGAAGTAGCCATAGTTCCAGATTTCCGGTCAAGGATCCAATGTCCCCAGGTCTTGTGACTAATGTTTTACCCCTGAACCACCTTCATCTAAGTCCTCAAAATTTAATATCCAATATTTTAAACCAATATCCATATTTTTATTTATTTTTTCTGCATTTTCAGGAATTAAAAAACATTGACCGAATCAACAACCCAGTGACTCAGCCAGATGAATCATTGAACCATTCAATCCAACCGACAGGTCACGAGTTACATATTTAATATCTTTTTTAATCATAAAATATCCTTTATTTCGAGGAACCTTCATCTAAGTCCTAAAAATCTAATATCTAATGCCTTGAACCTAATATCCATTAAGTCCTTTATTTATTCTGTGTTTTTTCGAGCAATCTCCAACATTAATTACAATAATACTTAGCTGTCTCACTTATTTCTGTTTAATATGATGAATATATAACATTTGAGACATGCCCTAATTTTTCTGTAAATTCTTTGCAGTTTTTTGTATAATTTGCATTTTAATATTTTTTATATTTTTAATCTGTTTATTATATGATTTATGATATCATGGGTTGACCTATTTGACCTGGATTTGAACCACTACTCGCAACCTGGAGTGAAAGGTGGTTCTGTTTCCAGGTGGTTTTTCAAAACATTGGTTGACTAGGCTCTAACAACAGTCAATAGGCATAACCAAGAGTTCTTTGGCCTTTTATTTTAAGCTGCATAGTGGTTGGTGTCATCCTTGATGGAGAAGGCAAAAAAGAAGCATTTAGAAAAAGACGTCTATTTTGCTCCATTGAGTGATCCAGAATGATGTTTTAATGGCATTGTTACCTGTGCAGCTGGTCAGTGATGACATCGATAGAAGCAGCAGTGTAAGGGGTGGCATATCTCATCGACCCACCACAAGCAATCCCCTTCCCCAAAGCCGCCTCAAGCAGCTGGCCAGGAGTTTGACGTGTCGGAAATGCATGTGGGTTTATCACAATATCTGGAACTATGCCTTGAAGAGTAAATGGGAAATTCTCTTGAGACTCCAAAAATCCCAGAACACCCTTTTGACCATGCATGCTTGAGAACTTGTCCCCAAGAGATGGCGATCGTACCTGCACCCAAGAAATTGAAAAATGTAAATCAATGGGCTCAAAATGCCAATCTATTTTATACAATGTTTAAAAATTTGAAGGTGTGAAGAGAGGTATTGGGGTCTTCTGCTGCATTGTGCTGTAAGCCTCAAGCCTTGAGGCTAAGCCTAATCATGAGAAAAACTTTTTAGAGAAAACACGCACACACACAGAAACATAATACCACACACAGGATAAAAACCTTGAAGATTTTTAACAAATTACAAACCAACATGTAAAATTTAAGTTGCTCTTTTAAGACTGTGTAATGATGAGATTCCTGCTTCAACTACAGAATACATTGTTGAATAAGGCACATCAAGGTGTCAATGATATGCCTTAAATTTTTATGCGAGTCTCATCAAGGTTGCTTCAGGATGTTTTACCTAAAGGCGTCAATCATGAGTCTTAAATCCTTGAAGACTACTGAAAGCTCTTGATGTAAAACAAATCCTTAAACTAATGTTAAAAATTCCAAGATTTTACCAAATTACAAGACATGGAAAACTTGGGTTCTGTTATTTATCAAAAATAAAAGAGAAAATGGAAAACTTGGGTTCCTCTTTAAGTAAGCATCATGATGAGAATCCTGCTCCAACTACAAAATACATTGTCGAATAAAGCATGTCAAGGTGCTACTTATGTGCCTCAAACCTTTACGTGAGTCTCAAAGTTGCCTTGTGGCTCACCTCAAGGTGTAAGCATCACACCAGACACCTTTGAAAAGAAAAGTTCTATATTCCATAACGCATGCAAATTGTTTTTTCTTTTCCAATCTAACAAAGTTCTTTCCATCATCATTAGCATAATCTGGCACAAGCATACCTATATAGCAGCATAATCTTTACCTTTATCAGATTCACTTACTTGTGCCAGTATCCATGTAACATAGGTATGTGTATGTATGTGTTTGTGTATGAGATAGAGAGAGAACCTGTCTTAGTGATACCACTGCAAAGTTCTTTCCATCATCATTAGCAGATAACACAACTTTTTGAACCTTCCCTCTTTCTGTGTGTTTCAGTTTGATACTGTGATCAGCCCCTGATTCTGCACTCCTACCAATGACTATGTCACCAGCCTGCAAGTTTGCCCCAATAAATGGAAATCCATCATCGTCAAGACTGTCAACACGCCCAAATTTACTCTGTATTTTACCAAAATCAACTCTATCCTTGGGCCGTTGGCGTTTATTATTATCAAACAATTCACTGTTGTCGACATCAGCCTTGTAACTCCTGATGTGTTCTGTTCTGAACATGCCACGCTCTAAAGAAGCCCGATTCATGACCAATGAATCTTCTTGGTTGTAACCTAGATGAACATTAACAGCCACAATAGCATTCTGGCCATTGAAATACTCTGGCCTGGGAAGGACTCCATTATGACCTTGGGGATACTCAGGTCTTCCAAGGCAATCAGAGACCATGGTTCTGAAAAGTGGCCTCTGGGGGTAATATAACTGGTGAGAAAGAGTATCAACTCTAATATTCGGGTTTGTTGTAGAGAACCCAATGGCCTGCTGCGAGTGTTTCTCAGATTGGTAAAGAACCCTTCTAGCATGGTCATGGTTTGCAAAAGGGATAAGGCTACAGCTTAAGCCCATTAAGTAAGAAAGGTCAAGCTCACAGTGTGTATAATTAACAGGTGGCTCATCTTTACCTCTCATCAAGAGGTATTTTACACCCCATGCAGTCTGACAATCCTCTTCTTCTTCTACCCCTACAAGCTCTAGTACTCCTTTGTCCAAAAGAGACTGAAAGCTGTAGCCTCCTTTAAATTCTTTTATCTTCCTTAGATTCTCAACAACTAAAAGAGGCCGTAGGATTCTACCAGCATCGGAAAATATTCGCACTTCACCCTGTTGCTGGTCCCTTTTAATCTCCACCTGCAGAAGTTTAGGGTTGCTAATGGATACTATGCACATAGATAAATGAAAGAAGAGTGATGGTTGAGCAATGCAGAAATAGTCAAAATAAAAATGATAACTTGAAGGTGCAGCAGCTTTGTGCTTTAAAATCAACTGAAAATTTGTATCAGATAATAATAAACTTAGACATTAAAAGAAACAATGAATTCTATAGGGCCAGAATTTTATTTTCTTAAATTTCAAGTCAGACTTAAATACGGGAATGGGACCTTAACCAGAAAATGGTCATAAGTTGTAAGAAACACAGTTTTAACTCTATCAAATAGGAATGGTATATCCCATCAGCTTGGCAAGTTCAATGGTATCTTTGTAGTTACTGAGAATGGAAGTTGAAGCATGTAAAAACAAATGGTTCATGATCATGATTAAATATGTAAGTGCAACAAAGCATGTTAATTCATACTCTCAGATTTTTCATTTAATAACAACAACAACAACAACATTCTAGTATTTTTAACTGAACATATATTTTTATCTTACAATAGCCATTGTGAACAAAATCTATGAATAAAAGACGCAAGCAACTTTTATTTGTTTTTTTTTTCTTTCAATTTTGAAAAAGAAAATCAGTTACAATATTGTTGTGTATTTTTATAGGATTTGTTGTATATGTACTGAGAATGGGYCGAATGGGCCTTGGTGATTTATTTCTTTTAAGTTATGTTCTTTTAGTTATGGGCCTCCTTTTTTTCTTTTAATTATTTTTTTAGTGCTGGCTGCCCCATTAAGGATATCCAGGGAATTGTACTCAGTTTAAAATTAAGAGAATAAAAGACATCTTGGAGGGGCTAGAGAAAAAGGATCGAACTCTTCTCTTCTCTCTTCCCTTCTCTTCGTCTTCCACAAACTACTGCTGAAACCTCTCTTTCTTCTTCCTTTCCTCTTACTTTTTATATTTTTTCTGAATTATTGCAAGTGTATTTCACAACTTGGTATCAGAGCAGGTTTTCACCTTCAACATCTTTCTCCTTCCTTTGCCCATACACAATGTGTATGGAGAACTGATCGGTTAATCAACCAACAGCCTATGCAGCCCAATTAGGAGGGTTTTTGGAGAGTTTCTGTGGAGTTTTTCATCCTTAGTTGAAGCCTAAGGTAGGTTCTTGAAGATTTTTCCTGAAAACCCTAGATAACTAGAGAAACCTTGTTATAGGCCGTAGTGACATTTAGAACTTGGCGCTTGGGGATCAGAGGAAAGCCTTTTAATTTCTATTGAGGGCGTTTTGGGTTGGACTGAGTTCTGGAACCTCTAATAGGAGCGGTTAAAGTTTCTCTCCTTCTCCCATCTTGCGGGGTCCTATGAAACCTTGTTTTTGGGAGGTTGAAGGGTTGTTCTTTGCTTGGAATAGCAAATATAGCCTAGTAAAGCCCTAATTTGATTTTCATTTGCATCTGTTCACTCAATGGAGCAAACTAGAGGAGAAACCAAATATCCCACAGACCAATTAGGGAAGTAAGTGACCACTGTGAGGTTGGATGAGACCAATTATTTAGCCTGGTCTAAGTCCATTAAGATTCATGTGTGTAGTAAAGGGAAATGGGATTACATTACCGGGGGCAAGAAGAAACTGACTGAGGATGACCTTACTTACGAAAGGTGGATGTAGAAAAACTACACAGTAGTGGGTTGGTTAGTGAATTTTATACAACCACATATTAGTCAACACTACATGTGGATGGAAACTACAAAAGAAGTGTGGGATAGTGTCATGGAGACTTGTTCCTAAAATCTTATTGTTGCTAGGGCCTACAAATTGAAGAATGATGTAATAATCTAAGACAAGGGGAGAAGCCCTTAGCCATCTACTTCTCCATGTTGAAATCTCTTTGGCAAGAGATTGATCTAATGGAGGTTGTTGTTTGGGGTTGTACAAAGGATGCAAAAACACATAGGAAGTTTGTGGAGAGAAATCGGGTCTTTAAGTTCCTTATCGAACTCAACCCGGAGTATGATATTGTGAGGCAGAATGTTTTGGCAAAGGATGAGGTGACTTTGTCTTAGGCTTATGCTATGGTGAGCAGTGAGGAGAGCAAAAAACAAGTTTAGTCTGTAGAACCACAGGTTGATCACTATGCCAATGTTGGGATGAAGCTGAAGGTCAACACTGGGAAGAAAGATGTTATATGTGAATATTGCAAGATGCCTAAACACATTAAAGACACCTCTTGGAAGCTGCATCCAGAGCTCACTCCTACCAAACTCAAGAAAGAAAATAGTGGAAAAAGGTTTGAAAATGGAAAATGTGGAAATGCAAATGTAGCCACCTCCTCACAAAGTGAACAAGGATAGAGTGGTGATAAGTTAGTAGGAGAGTAGCTTGCAGCCACCAAGGCTGAGTATGAAAAGTATGATCGAATAATCAGTCACTTGGAGTTCACTGTTACAGTATCATCAGATACTGTTCCTTCATCTGCATATGCGCACTTAGGTATTTGTGCCATTACAAATCATGCTTCTGTCTTAGGTACTCTTAAAATCCCTTGGATAATTGATTCTAATGTGTGGGGGATTTACCATTTATCTTGTATGGGTGGCTATAGATATTTCACCCTGTTTAGTAATGACTTTTCACAATATACTTGGATTTACCTTATGTATTCTCGTGCTGAAGTGCCTAAGCTTGTGCAACAGTTCCATGAACATATACTCACTTAGATTGATAATATATATATACTCATTCAATTTGATACCCGCATCAAAATATTCCGATCAAACAATGCTAAGGAATATTTTGAGAAGGACCTTATTTGGGATTGGTTGTCTATCAAAGTTCTGTGCTCATACTCCACAACAAAATGGAGTAGCGGGGAGGAAAACAAACACATTGTGGAAGTCGCAAGGAGTATTTTTTTTGCTACCCATGTTCGGTGTTCCTATGAAGTTTTGAGGTGATGCAGTTTTAACAACTACCTATCTTATTAAGCATATGCCTTCTTGAGTCTTGGGGTTAAAGTCTTCTTTTGGAGTCCTCTTTCCTAGTGTTTAGATTTTCTCTATTCCTTTGTGGGTCTTTGGTTGCACTTGCTATGTCCACACTCCACATTCTCAGTTCCAAGAGACATAAATTTGAACTCAAGGCTTATAAGTGTATCTTCCTTGGTTATGCCTCCACACAAAAAGGGTACTATTGTTTTGATCTCGTTAGTGGCACCCGGTTTATTTCCATGGATGTCACTTTTGTAGAGTCAATCCCTTTTTATAGTCATCCTTCTAAGGGGGAGAGACCTCTTGAATTGTTTTCTTCATCCCTTCCTTTGCCAGCTCCAATTGAGTCTTGTGTCAAGCCCTCTATAGTTACCCCCATTCCCGTGGAGGGATCCTCTCCTTTGAAGTCTTCCATTCTTGCTCCTCCACCTCTTACTAGTCCTATAGTTTTTACCTCTCATCCTATTCTCCAGAGGTGGTACCAGTGGCAAAGGATAAGGCACAGGTTGATCCCACACCTCCAGTTGAGTCTCAGGTGCTTCTAATTACTGAAGAGATGACACGTCCTACATCTCCACCACTAGCACCTTCATTTCTAGACCCTGATCTACCCATTGCTTTGAGAAAAGGTAAGAGGAAATGAATAGCTCATTACATTTCCAAACATCTTTCTAATAACTTGTTGTCCCCATCCTACTATTCCTTTCTAGCCTCTATTTCCTATCAACCCATCCCAAGGTCAGTGTCAAAGCTCTTAGTCAAACCAGAGTGGAGGGATGCTATGAGGACTAAAATAGAAGCACTTCATAAAAATGATACCTAGGACACTGTTGACTTGCCAACTGGGAAGGAACCTATTGGGTGCAAGTGGGTTTTCACTATCAAGTATCATACAGATGGGTCGATAAGACTCGTCTTGATGCTAAGGGATATACCCAGGTATATGAAATAGATTACATTGAGACTTTCTCTCTAATTGCTAAAATGACTTTTATGAGTTCTTTTATCCTTAGTAGTGAGTTGTGTTTGGCCTCTTTACCAGTTTGATATTAAGAATGCATTCCTAAATGGTGATCTCATGAAGAGGTATATATGTCCCTTCCTCTTAGTATATATGGTAAGAAGATGCAAGGTAAGGTGTGCAGAATGAAGAAGTCACTTTATGGCCTAAAATAATCTCCGCGTGCTTAGTTTGATAGGTTCAGAGCTGCTCGTGTTCAGTTCGGCTACACTCAGACTCAATCAAATCATACCCTCTTTGTTAAGAGGAAAAATACTTTGGTTACATTTCTTATTGTTTATGTGGATGATATTGTGGTTACTGGCAGTGATACAGAAGAAATTGATACTCACAAGAAGTTCCTCAATTCTGAATTTGAGATTAAAGACTTAGGGGAATTGCGGTACATTCTTAGCATTGAGGTTGCTAGGTCCAAAGAAAGTATCTTTATTTCTCAGCGCAAGTATGTCCTAGACCTTCTTACTAAGACTTGAAAACTTGGTGCTAAACCTACCTCCACCCCTATTAATGTAAATCATAAACTCTCAGCTAATGATAAAGAGCTTTTAACTGACAGGGGAGTGTTTCAGAGACTACTGGGGAAACTTCTTTATCTATTTATGACTCGTCCAGACATTTCATATGTTGTGTCATTAGCTAGTTCATGCATGCTCCCAGAGACACAAATATGGTCGTTATGGAAAGGGTGCTATGCTATCTTAAGGAAACCCCCGGTAAGGGTATATTATTTGCTACACATGGCCGCATGAAGGTAGAAACCAGTGTTTTAAAAGGCGTAGGAGGCATATGCCTCGAGGCACGCCTTCAAGAAGTTTATGCCTTAGGAAGTAAGAACTTACCTTCAGTTCAAGAAGTTTATGCCTTAGTTCAGTCTGAAAAGAGTAGAAAAAGTGTGATAAATTGTACAAAGGGGGAACCGGTTGCACTAGCTACCCGAGGGGGTACAAATTTAAATGTCGGAGGTTCTTTTAAAAAGGGTGATTCATAGAAGAGAGTGTATGACAAAGACAA